ACCCACATGCACTATTTGAGTTGTTATGCTGTTGTAAATACTCCTGTTGTCTGCTGTGTTCAGACTCAAGTCCTGTGTGTGATGCCACATTCAGGACATTCAGTGTCCTTTCTTTAACAGAAGACCGTTGCTAGAAGCTGCAGCTAGACTGCAGAAGCATATTTTTTTGTTTTTGAGGATGGAACAACTTCACACACAGATATAGGGAGGCTAGACCTATACAATTTGTTTTGGTTTATGAATTAATGTCAAGACATTTATGTTATTGATTTCTGAAGCACTTTCTAAATAATAAAGACAGTTCATATGTATTTACTGCATGTATGCATTGATGACAAAGAAGCCATGTGCAGTAATATAGAAAATTGAGGATGCAACGCATCGTGCATCGTGATATCGAATCGAAGACAAGATAATTGTAATCGAATCGTGACACCAGTGAAGATGCACAGCCTTAGCGCTAGGGCTGAACGATTGAAAATCGAAATCGCGATTTTAAATGATGCGATAATCAAATCTCAAAGCCTGCGATTTTCTTTAAGTTTTATTTTTTTACATTTGTTTTTTTTGTTCTTCTTGTGTGTCAGTCATCCACACCAATCAGAAGTGCTGTGCTCCACATGTACCAGCCATTGTTAATCAATCAGAAGTGGCCCATGATAGAAGGTGATGGACAGATTGATCAAATCACCTGCCAAGTATTTTTGAAAGTGCCTGCCCTTTCCAAATGGCTTCCAATGGAGCTTTAGATGCTTTGGTGAAACAAACCATCTGAGTCAGGTTAGTAATGCTCCATCACATGTTTCTATTACAGGGTGAGTCTTAAACTGAAGCTTGACTTTAAAGCAACCCAACGGAAGTTTCATGTAACTTTAGTGTTTTCACTCGTAGCTCGGGCTGCTGGGGTGCTAGAGACGGGAGTACCTTGATACGACCTTCCTAGCCGGAGATTAGGGCTGCAACAAACGACTCATTTGATAATCGATTAATGAAACGATTAATCGACTATTCGGACTATTATGCCTTGCATAATTTCTCAAACGCTCTTATTTAGCCATCAACTTTTATATTTAGCTTGAGGTTGTTTTAGGCATGTGGAAACTAACAATGAAGACAATAAAGATGAATACTTGATTCAAAAATACATATGTTATTAAATTAACTTAACACATTGTGAACAAAATTAACATTGCTTTTTATTTAAATTAAATACATAATATTTCACATCAAAAGAAACAACAATGTTTTAACAAATGGTATTAAATAATGTGATGACAGAACTGTAAACAGAATAGCTGAAACTTTAACTAAATAAATAACTCAGTTTCCTCTAATCATTAACCCATGTTTGTATCATGGAGTTAACTCTGTGTGTTGCTGCTAGCATACATAACACCTGACGTGGAAACGTTCCTCGTGGATGGGGCTACAGAGCTGCTAGAAAGACAGTGGAACCCGGTGCATTCCTCCGTCTGAATGTGGAGCACTTTTGATAAATGTTTAGACAAATTGCTCGTGTTACCGCCCTTACATGCTAAACACTTATTGCACTTTTGGCAACGAGCATTGTCCACATCGAGACGGGTAAAGTTTAGCCACACCTTGGAGCACTTCTCTCCGCCATCCCAGCCGTGTGTTGCTGCTTGTAGCAGCTGCGTGAGTGTAAACTGCCCCGCCCCCTCGCACACAGACGGGAGAGAGAGAGATCTCGTCTGGATTGGAAAGGTCGAAAATACACCATAGATGCATTTGTTTGTCTTTTTGCATTTTAGAAACGAGTTGGCGACACTAATGGCGCGTTTCCACTGCAGCGGGTAGCCCCGTTTAAGCGTCCTTAACCGTCCTCAAGCGGCCAGGCCGGTTTTTGATGGCGTTTCCATATAGCCTAGTACCGGCCAGCGGGTACTTTTTCCCTCTTTTTCCGGCCTCATAAAATCGTGGTTCCCTCAGACCAGGGCCAGGGCTGAACTAGTGACGTCAACACTCTCGACTGCTGATTGGTCAGAGAGAATCGTCACAAGATTGCGCGCGAGTTCATCCCTAGCGTCGCATAGAAGCAAGCTTGCAGCATTTTTATACACAGCATTTTGTAAACGGAGGAGCTACAAAAATGGCTACTTCTAAGAAAAGCACACCGTGGTCGACCGAGGAGGTGACGACGTTCCTTCATCTCATTGGGGATGATAACATCCAGCGGGAGCTCGACGGAACAACTCGAAATGTGAACAAAAACAAAGCCGATCGCCCCGCCTACACTGCGTTGCTACCCCAGGTCCTAAACTGTAATGGAAATGCGCCACGGCCTGGGCCGGCCAGCGAGGCAGCCCGAGGCCTGAGCGAGGACGCTTAGGGACGCTTAAACGGGGCTACCCCGCTGCAGTGGAAACGCGCCATTAGACTGCGATATAATGTTTTTGTAGCAATAATACATGACATATATTTTTTAAATGTCTCCAGTACCGATAAAAAGACCGGTAACGTTGGAGCTTAACGGCGTAAAACACACGTGATGACGTCACCAACGAATCGACGACTGAATTAGTTGGCAACTAATTTGGTCATCGATTTTAATCGATTAAGACGATTAGTTGTTGCACCCCTACCGGAGATATGGCCGCATTTTACAATAAACTTCCGTTGGGTCGCTTAAAAAAAAAAAGAATATCGCAAATGGAATCGCCATTGCAATATTTGTCAGAAAAATCGCAATTAGATTTTTTCCCAAAATCGTGCAGCCCTACTTAGCGCATACATTATGTGAGATATGCGTGCCTGGCAAACAATTTTCTTATATCCAGTTGATTCCTTTCCCTGCCTATCAGGACTGCTTTCAGTTTTATTACCACGGATACAGGCTTATAAAAAAAAGATTATTTTTTTCAATAAAGTGAACATATTAATCAATTATATATAAATATATATATAAAAATATCTGGCCACGAAAGTGTCTCTTGGATTAATTTTGGCCCTTGGACCAATGTAGTTGGTGACCCCTGCTCTACGCTAAAAGGTGTCCTCTATGTCAGTGTCAAGTAAATAAAGCCTAATTAGGTACCACGGTTATTGGCTACATTTCTGCACACATCGTTGAGCATTTTAAGTTTATGTTGGGGAAAATACTGAATGTACTCTTCTAATATCAGAGTAGCACGTGATAACAAAGGCCCTACGTAGCTGTGTACGTAACCAGATGTATGATAACCTAGAAGAGCATCAGGACTGTTTTAGGCATATGATAGCTATGTGATTAACATGATGATTCCTGACATTTTACTTAAGAACATATGAAGAGTTTGGTTCCAAAACGCGATAAACGCCACTTTTGAAAAAAATGAGTTCCCGCCTAAATCAGTATTGTATTTCGTCGGTATTGAAAAGTCAACATTCAATTTCCCGCAAAACGCGATATCCGCCGTGTTATTCTGTCCTGTTTTCTCACTTTCTTTCCAAACAGCGACAAACGCCAGTCTCCCTTCTCTACAGAATGCTCAACCAATCACAGCGCACCATTCCACGCACCTCAACCAATCACAGAGCATTCCACGCAGTGTAAACAATAATGGCGGCACCCTGAATGTACCGGCTTTCGTCATTATCTACTTCAACAAACAATAAAAACATGAATAATTTTGACAGCATTGATGAACCTGTGGTGGTTTCTGCGGTGGGGAAGAAACGCAAGCCATCGAAATGTAATCATGTACGTGAGGAGATTAAGAAAATGAGACACTCGGGAGGAGGAAAAATGCCGGCTGTCGCTTGTTATCATTCTCATACAAAAGCAAACTTCTGTCACGCAGACACATTGACCCCAGGGGATCTATTAAAAAACGTTCAGTGTTTTTACTCTGGATCTACTAAAATCGAGCAGGATCAAGTCCTTTTGCAGCTGATCACTGTCAAAAAAGTTCAGCGGAGACGTCCAAAGGTTGTCAACAGCGATATGCAGAAGGATAGGGAGGTCACATTTGCTGACCGAAGATCATCCCACAAAAATGCCTGTCTGCAAGGCCACCTTTTGCAGCGTTTTGGGTGAGTTTAATTTTGATTTACGAATGATATTATTCATACAGGACTGCCTGCTCTTAAAACGTGTGGATCATTAAACGACGCTATGTTGATGTGATAGGCTGGACTACACAGGCTAGATAATGACAGCTTAATTCACAACAAGCACATCACTGGCTTTTCAATGCAGCCTGATGTGTAGCCTAGGTTATATCATGAAGTGAACAAGGCACAATTAAGCTTTTCTGTTTAATCTTGAATGTTTAAGTTTCTTGCTATTTTTTCGTTTGTTTTCATGTTAAAATGTAGCCTACTTAAGGAATTAGTATCACTTAGCCTTAGTCTGATGTATTGCTTGGGCACAAATTCTTTACACAGATATAGTTATATGAATGCAATGGATTTATAGGATGCACAAGACAATCGTACAACGTACAGCACTAATATGAATGTAACATGGCAAAGATGAATGTGATTTTGGAATTTCTCTGGTCTAATGTGATATTGTTGTTCTTGTTCATGATACATTTCCCTCACATGTAATGTTTTATTGTTGTAATGAATGTGTAGCATTAACAAGATGACCCGTTAAATACATTTTGATTGATGTATTTTTGGCCCAGTGCCCATATATAAGTTTAGTATTGACCAAGTTCAGAGGTTTTCATATGTATCAACTGACTTACTGTTATGTATTTTTGCACAGTTTCAATATGAAAAATAAAATGGATTTATTGCATTTTGGGGAAAAAATGATCAGTTTTTAAAATAAATCTTTGAAAATCTAATTCTGGATTTTAATTTGTAATGTTATTATAACCTCAAGATGCTATGTGAAAGTTTGAAACAGAATATAGTGGTTTTCACTTGCCATTTTTCTTGGTAAAGAAAATACATTTTCACTCAAATTAATCAACATGGATTTATAGCGTTTTGGAACCAAACTCTTCATATACATGTAAACGTACTGAGTGAAACAGGAGAGTCCTTACCATGGTGCTGGTGTTTGTCACTTCCCTGGCTAAGAAACTCCACATCGCATTTGGATCCGTCGACACCCATCAAGTCCTGCTGCTGCCTTACTATCTCCTCCAACAGACGAGAGTTGTTCTTCTGAAAAATGCCTGAGTGAAGAAACCAATGTGGCTGATAAGTACATCCTTCAAACCAGGGTGACAAAAACAAGAAATGTTCTTATTACACTTAGAGTGGAGAAAGAGACATTTGAGCTTTGACTCTAGCTGCCGTTTTATTTATTTCATAATGTAACAAATCTTAGTAACAGCTCCGATAAAATCATTTAAGTGCTTAACTTAATGTTGGTTTCCTGTGCATCTGAAATCAGAAAAAAAGGGCTGAAAATGTGCAAAACTGACTCCAAGTCTCCAGGACTTGTACCTTGTTCAGATTTGGTTCCCTGAGAGATGCATCAGTGTGAAAAGATAAGACAGCGACAAAACAGGGCTATGTTTCAGGAGAATATAGATATCCAAAAGGACAAAGTAATAAAGCGGGAGTTTACATGATCAATGTGAGTCATTTGCTCTCAGAATATAAATCAGTGTAATAAGTGTGTGGTTATTAGTGTGTTTTCAGTGTTAGCCCAGCTGATTGAGCAACACTGTTTAAATTCAAACTGGGATAATAATAAAATATAAGATAAAATAAGCTAGAAGGGCTGGAATAACACCGGGTTCCAGATTTAACCAAGATAAAATATGACCGGAAAAAACGAGTATCATATTTCAAGCAGAATTGGCCTAATAATACACAGTGTCATCCATGTTTTCTCAGAGACTAAATAATGAATGAGAAAAGTCTCTGCCTAGGGTTGGGTACCGAGAACCGTTCCAACATTTCGATTCCAACGGCATCATTTAGAAATGTGAATTTCGGTTCCGCTTTTCGATGCCTGAGGAAATGTTTCTCGCCGCTCTCCGTAGCCTACTGTATGACTGTGAAGCGGCGGGAAATGTAGCGTTGTACCCAGGGCTCTGGTTGTATCTACACTTCCTACAGCGTAACCTGGGACCAGGGCCGGCCCGTCGCACTGGCGTTATAGATGTTCGCCTAGGGTGCCAGATCTGTGGAGGCGCTGCGCTGACAGCTCTGGGAGGAAAAAAAAATGTTTTGACCGTTGGGGCTCATCCTAATGTTCGGCCTTGATGTAACAACATTCATAATTAAGTAAATGTAACACCCTTTTCATCCCAGTTACACTTTCCATTTGCCCTGTACGATGGGCGCTGTCAGTGATGAAAATGGGGGATGTTGGCTTATCTGGCACCCGCAGCTCACAGCCAAAGTGCGAGTGAGCGTGGGAGCGAGCGAGGGAGAAAAGGAGGGTGCACCGGTACGCGCTGTTGTTATTAGCATCTGCTGCGAGCTGCTCTAACAGAAGAAGAAGATGTTTCTACAATAATGTGGAGGGAGAGTCCTCTACAGTCAGACTGAGAGGCTGATAACTACAGCTCAGTGAGGTAAAGGACTCTGAGTGTTTAGATAGTTCACTTTAGTCTAAGTTATCTCAGTGGGTCTCAAACGTTTTGATCACAATTTATGTAAACACATATTTCCAAGGCACTCCTTTATAATTATTGGGATAAAACAGGTTTGACATCATTCCAATGTATACTATAGGACAGTAAACCACACATATCGTTTTAAACTGGAGAGATAACACAAATAAAATACGTTACATGTATTTGTTTTTGGCTATGGTAGGTTACTTGTTATGTTCACATACTTATTTAATTATTAAAATGTAAACCGATCTTTTTCATATGGGTGTTTAGAGTTGTACCCTCTAGATCAGGGGTCGGCAACAGGCGGACCGCGGTCCGGATCCGGACCCAGACCCAGACGGACCCGGAGCTATAATCAATACATTAATAGGGTTTTGTTCGGCTCCTCCCGCTTTTTTAACGCTGATTTGGTTGACTTGTGTAATACGTGGAGAACCGCAAGGACAGGTTCCTTGAACACAACACGAGCGTAACGTGTCTTAACGTGGTATATGTCTCGTCTGAAAGGAGTGCTCAGAGAGCACCGGAACGCCGCTCCAGCTCTTCAAATATTGCAATACCCATAAGGAGCCGTACACATGCCGCAGTGTTTGCGTGGCTGTGTCTTTAGTTGTAAGCACAGTGGCGATCTGTTGTTATTAGCATCTGGTTAGCTAGCTATGCTAACGAATTTAAAGAGCTTTTCTACAACCAGGTGGAAGAGAGCTCTCTCCTGAGAGGCTCAAATAACCTCAGCTCAGTGAGGAGGTTAAGGCACACCTTGATATGATCATTATAGTTATTAATGAGACTAAATGAAAAACAGGTATAAAATACTATATGACAGTAACAAAAAAGTTGTTAAAAATAACAAGAATAGAGTTTAAAAGGGGAGTGATTTGTAAAATATCCAAAAAGAAAAATCTGCTTACAGTTCTGTTTCATATGGGTGTTGAAAGATGTATCCATAGATCTCTTAATGTTGCTCTCAAAGTGTACTAGATTGATGCTTTTAACTTCAATATTTAAAAACAAATCTTCCCGGGGGAGCATGCCCCCGGACCCCCCTAGAGGAGGTTAGGTCCCCCCCCCCCCACTTAAATCATGTTCACATGGATAGGATACTAAATACATTTGCACACATCTTGTGTCCATATCTTTCTGTGTTGGTGGTCATGCCACAACTGTGCACATGCATGCATGCATGCATGCAACACCGTGCACATGCATACGTGAGTCATGGTGAGATATCTGGATTAAGAGGTTGCTTTTTTCTTTGCACAGCATGAAAGAAAGGCCAAATGAATGGGCTGTGATTTTAGTTTTTTTAAGCAAAGTTGAGTTCAATCATTTGTACGACCCTCCGAGGATGTTGTAAAAATTGAAAGGAAAAAGGTCCCCACCCCTGCTGTAAATAATAATAAAAACCCTTGATTTATAACTTAACATCTCTGTCTGCTATTGATCTGAGTATATTATAAAGAATAGCAGTTAATTGAAGCATTATAGCACAGGCCTTTGTCAGATGGTATATTACGCAGTTTTTTTCTGCTTCGAATAGTTCTCTCTTTTTTCACCATACCTGTGTTTGCATCACTGAAACCAATGAGCACCTGCATGTGTATGAGAATGGCCCTGACACCATTTCAGCCCAGATCTAAACTCCTGGCAGGATAAGCTCCAGCTCAATTCTCGCACTGAATAAAACAGTGAGTAAGGGACTGCAATATAAGAGGGAAAGAAAGAGAAACTTTAAACTGTTCAATTGTTATGATGTGTAAAGACTGATATTGTTCTATAATCGTCTGAAACTGTTAAGTCATGATGTGAAACGGTTAACAAAGAAAAAGGGACACTCAAGCTGCTGCTACACTTTATTTTATTTATCTAAAATTAAGCACTTTTAAGATGCACATATTTTCAAAAGCCATTTTATTTATTTTCTCTATTTTATTTGTAAATGCAGCCCGAGAGGAACATTACACATATCCACAGTATTTACTGTATATCTGTTTAGTTCAATGTTAATTGACTATAAATATTGTTGTTTTTGAATTGTACTTTCTTTATTTGATTGGCAGTCAGTTGTTGATTACATGCAGACGTTGATAAAGCTACAGGTCACTTCAATATATATCACACTCATTCATGAAGCAACTTAGACATTTTGATGTTCTGGACCTTTGCATGGGGACATTTTCTCTAACTGGACCTCGTTGAATTTTAGTTGAAGACCCCTGCTCTAGATCTAGTCTCTAGTCATTCTGCTTAAAGTGCACCAGATTGAAGCATTTTACTTTAAAATGTTCAAACATTTCTTCCCGGTTTGCCTGAGAAGGCAGATATGCTTGTTTTTCTCAACAAGAACTGTTTTTAAATGGGGGGGGTTCCTTTAAAAGTTGGACTGTTGTAGCTTCAGTGGTTCTCAGGTTACAGTTACATAGCAGTGAATATAAACAGACTGACTAATGTGAATATTACTGGAAACTAACCTGTGTAAAAGTTTCTCGAATAAATGTAATTTTTGTTGGTGGAAGAAGCATGTATCATTTTGTTACCCTGCCCCTCAAAGAATCGGAATCGAAAAGTAGAATCGGAATCAGAATCGTGGAAATTCAAACGATACCCAACCCTTTCTCTGCCTAACTTTAGAACTGAAAGGCGCATAATGTGGAACATTCCAATATAACCACAGTCACATGACAGGGGTGAAATAAAACGAATAAGGGAAGTGAGGACCTTTAATCCACTTGAATAAAATATGCTCAGATGAAATATGATTTACGTATTCAATCCAAATTTAAGTTAAGGGAATGGAAAGTGAGTGTGACATCTCCTGCATCAGTCAAAATACACATATGTATATTGAATGGTAAATTAAATAGCGGTGAGCCTTTATTAGGCCAGCCATCAGAGACAGCGACAGAGGCGGTTAGTATGGGGTGAAGCGTTCAGGGTTTTTACCGTGGTTATCATAGACGCTGACATAAGATATCCCGACAGCCATGCACCACACTGCCAGGTTTGCTATGTCCGTGTAGCTGGGCTCTTCTTCCGCCACCAACAGGCCGATGTGGACCGGCAGCTTCTCCAGAGACCTGCCGTCAGACAGCCAGCGGGACCGACGCCCAGCATTGCGGTTTCCAGTTACCGGGTTAGCGTTAGCATCAGGGTCCTGGTTTACCTTCCTCTGGGGGTCGGGGACCCCGGCCAGGGCTACCGGCAGCAGCAAAGCGGCCATCGCCCGCTCCCAAAGCCGACCCTTCCAGCTCCGAAGCCGGACACGGAGCCAGGAGACCAGCGCCCTGTTGATGTGGACCAGAAAGAGCAAGAGCCTCCATAACAAGCCATACAGCAGCGCCATTAGTGTGCGTGTTCCCTGAAAGTGACGTCTTAAAGGCGCTCTACTCTTCGGTATTATCTGCCTGCTAAACCTGTTCCGTCGCTGCCTGCGGCCGCCATCTTTCTCCTTCTTCTTCTTATTATTCTTCTTCTTCTTCTTCTTCTTCTTCTTCTTCTTCAGTGTTTATTGGCGGTTGGCAAACCAACTTGTAGGTACATTACCGCCACCAACTGGATTGGAGTGTGGACAAGAGACTATGCAGAAAACAATAAACAAAACAAACAAAACAAAGAACCAAAACTCTAGATTATTTTAAATGTATCAATTTCTCTTAGAAACGTAATACATATTGCCTGATGTTTTCCCTAACGGCCCTGATAGCGACAAGTCATGGAATTGTGCTTTCTTCAGTGAAAAGCACATTTCTCTGAGTACTATATTTCCTGCAAAGCAGTAAAACATGCTCAACAGTTTCTGGCTGGCTACAGTGGATACACTTTCCGGTTGGATGCTTTCCTATTATACTTAATGTATGATTGAGACCTGTATGACCTATTCTCATCCGAGGAATGACATTTTCCTCCCTTCTTTTAAACCCCACCTTCCTTCCATCCCCCACATACCTTTGAATTTTATAAAGATGTCTTCCTGTATCCATAGGCGGATTTTGCGGGGGGGGCAGGGGGGGGCATTGCCCCCCCTAGTGGCTGAAATATGTTACAGCATTACTACTTCTAAAACTGTTCCAATACAAATATTTCGTATATCAATATTTTAATAGATGTAATATAATGATTGTTACAATACAAATCTGAATAATATCATGTTTTGTTTGAAATAATTTCATTTTTGAGCAGTCGCATGTTGTGACGTGTGTGTGTGTGATGTGTGTGTGTGACGTATGAGGTTAAGGACACAAGTTCCCTCGCTTTTTTTTACATACAAGTGATTCAGCTATTGTATTACAATAAGATATGCGGCGATTTTTAAAACGTCCAATTTCTGGGACGTTTAAGGCGTCTACTTCTGCACTAAGTAGGACACTAGTTCATAATATTGTAGCGTGTTCAAGTAACCAAGGGATATAGTAGTTATCAAATAAGTATAAGATGTGCACAGTTATGATACGTTTTATAGTTATGTAATGCACTGTTGTTGGGGGGAGAGACCGCCCCTTCCATATGAGTGTGTGTGTACGGCGGGCATGAGGCGTGCATGACGGGACGAGTTGTGTTCGTATGTGGAAAAGTCATACTCAGTGCGGTGAACGCTGACTTTATTGCTACTGTATCCGTGACCCCACACAATAGTTGGGACTGTGTACTGACGATAGTAAAAAATGTTTGCCCCCCCAAGCGCAAATGTCAAACTCCGCCTATGCCTGTATCACTAAGGTCCCAATGTTCTTGCCATGTTGTTTGTGCATATTTCTGTATGAATGTTTTAACCTCCGCTTTGCTGGAACTTCTATGTCTATGTTCATACTTCTGAGTGTTTGTTTGGCCAGAATATCCACCTGTTCATTTCCCTCCACACCAACATGAGCAGGAACCCAGATGAAACGAGTTGCTATGCCTTTGATTTGCATTTTATATAAAATTAGAAATATTTCATTTCTTATGTCCATTCTAAATGAAGATCTGCCTGATCGTATACTTGATAATGCTGAAAAGCTGTCTGGTGCAATTACACTATTATGTATTTATTTCTCCTCTATCCATTTCAATGCCAACCCCAATGCCAACAACTCTGTGGTGTATACTGACACATGGTCTGTTACCCTTTTCTTTATATGTGTATTACTCACTGGGATATACACTGCTGCCCCTGCACACCCTGTCTCTGGATCTTTGGAACCATCTGTAAATATGATTGTTGAGTCTGAGTACTCGTAGTTTTCTTTTCCTTCAACTCTTTTTCTATATTGAGGTCTACACTTGGCAATGGAAACAACCAGGGTGGAATGGATGAGATTGGAACTGTGGGGCAATACTGCACTGTAAAATGTTTGACTGTAAAATTACAGTAAATTACTGGCTACTAGTTGCATGGATTTCACGGTAATTGACTGTGAATATTTCACAGTCAATTACTGTAGATATTTTACAGTAAATTAGAATAAAAGTATAACTAAATACTGTGACTTTACAGTTGCCATGCCCATGGAATTACTGTGATATAGCAGTACAGAGCTGTGATATTATGGTACCTTGCTGTACATAAATTACAGTAATTACCTCTATTTTCACACTATTACTGTAGAAGTAATGCAACACAGTAGCCAGTAATTTACTGTAAATATAAAAATGTAAATAATACGATAATATATTGTAAATCTGACTAGTTCACTGGGATTTTATCATAACTACACAATTCAATCACCTCAATCAACAATGCCCATTTTAACTTTGTATTACTCCATTGAAGTGCAAAGTACATTTCACAGTGTCTTGGACATGTTGTTACGGCCCCAACCTCTACTCCGCGTAGTGGCTGGTGCTGAGACCCGCAACATGAAAGATTACACGCAATAACCGGTACTTGGTAACGAGCATTTATTGATAATCAGCCGTTTGCTCACACAAGCAAAACGGGAAACAAAAAGAGGTCTGGAGGACTGGCCAAAAGGAACAAACAGAAGTAGGGAACCCGAGCCAGCCACACCACGGGCCGTAGGACCCAGAACTCCCCCCCCTAACCAATTATTATAAATTATAAACCCTATGGGAAACAAAATAAAGCCACGAAAACTGGACTACCAGGTCCTCCAGGCTAAACATAAAGACACCTGCAAAAATATGGCCTACAGCTCAAAATGACAAAGAGGTAATCTAAGGAGAGTGTCTCCCGGCGTTAGGACAGGCGAGACATCCTTCTCCTCCAGCTTCTCTTTATATATACATGGCTGAGTGGAATTTGGAACACCTGGGCAGAGGCGGAGCCAGGGGCAGACCAGGTGCACCTGGGCAGAGGCGGAGCCAGGGGCAGACCAGGTGCACCTGGGCAGAGGCGGAGCCAGGGGCAGACCAGGTGCACCTGCAGCAGGGAGACATAAATAAAACAAGGAGGGGAGCACGTAACACATGTCTACAGACATCCACTCGAAGTCAACAATTTTTCTGAAGAATGTGCTGACATGGGGGTTTAAATTGCCATGCCTCTTTTTGGCTTTCGAGCCCGTCTTGGGGTTAATGCCCAGGAAGCATCTGAAAACAATAAGCCAAGACAACCATTTCAATTTTACATAGATGTATATGTTGCATCGTTTATTTTAAGGCACATGCAGCGGTGCCCCTTTCAATTGAAGTAAAACCTGCACCAAAGAAAGAAATTAGTATTTAAAGCCAAGCAAGAGCAATGAAAGCAATAAAATCACTTAATTTGTTGTGTTATCACAGAGGATGGTCTGAATACAGTATTTTACTGTGAAATAATACAGTAACATGTTGTGAAATCCTTGTAATCATTGATCCTGTACATTCACAGTCATTAACTGTGCCTGTATTGATTTCACTGTGAAATTCAAAATTACAGTATTATATTGTGAACATTACAGGTAAAGACTGTAAAGTGGTAAAACAGTAATTTATTGTAAAATATTACAACTAAATATTGTGAAATCATGGTAATATTTTACAGTGTGTATTTGATTAAAACCTATACTTGCTGCTTTAAAATCGCCAATCCATCCAAAACTTGTTAAATGTGACTCATTGTGCTCCCAGCAGTCTTTCAAAAATACTTTTCGCAGGATGACTATCACTATGCCCCTGAAGGTTTACCCAGTATGCCAACATTAACTTCACTCTTCTTATCCTTAAAGGCATTTCTCCCATTTCCACCTGTATTGCTGATACTGGAGATGTTTTAAAAGCTCCACTACATATTCTCAGGGCCTGAGCTTGTAGGACATCCAGCTTTTTAAGGTTTGATTCTGCTGCTGCCATGAACGCTATACACCCATAATCGAATACAGGTCTCATGAGTGCCCAATATATGTTCTGTAGTGATGACCTACTCGCTCCCCACTCCTGTCCCGCCAAACACCGAAGTACATTGTTGACCTTTTTACATTTATTTTGAACTTTTCCTATATGATTGCTCCATGTTAACTTTCCGTCAAACCAAACCCCAAGAAATCTTATTGTATTAACCTGTTCAAGAGGTTGCTCATACCATTTTAACGATATAGGAGAAATATTATGCCGTTTTGTAAAACAAATAACCTGCGTCTTAGCTACTGACAGTTTGAATCCCCATTTATTTGTCCATTTCTCCATTTCAACTATTGCAGCTTGTATTTTATTTCCTACATTGCGGCCTTTTGCCCACAAAGCCTGCATACAAAGATTTTCCCATACTTGGATGAACTTGATTAAAAATGTCATGTATCATTATATTGAACAGCAACGGACTACACACACTACCTTGCGAAGTACCATTTTCCACAGCATAAACACTTGAATATTCTGCACCTACTCTTACTTGTATTTTCCTGTCCAGTAAAAAAATGATAACCCAATTATATGCTTTACCACCAATTCCCAATGATTTGAACTTGATTAGTAGTCCTTCCTTCCAGAGCATGTCATAAGCCTTTTCAATATCAAAGAAGACTGCAATCACTACTTCCTTATTGGTCTGTGCTTTCCTGATGTCTGATTCTAAGCACAATATAGAATCCATTGTATTCCGACCCCTACAGAACCCACTTTGATATGGGGACAACAGAGCTTTACTTTCTAAGATATATGTTAATCTTTCTGTAACCATTATTTCCATGATTTTGCATACATGAGATGTCAGGGCAATAGGCCTGAAGCTAGATGGATCTGAAGGGTCTTTCCCTGACTTTAGGATGGGCACTATTATCGCTTGTTTCCACACTGAAGGAAGTTGGCCAGAATCCCACACCCTATTAAACAACCTTAACACAATTACTAGAGTGTTATCTGTCATGTGTTCCAACATTTGTAACAAACACCAACTTTCCCAGGAGTGGTTTGACGAGCACTCATAATTGCTCTTCTCAACTCAAACATACTAAAATTCAGGTCCAACTGATCCCCTAACGCTTCTACTCTATCCAATATTCTAGGGTTTTCCATTCGTGTATTATTTCTGCACTGCCTGGCTTCCTCTGTAAGGTTATCTGAACTATGA